TGGAGGTCAGTTTATATTTTATTGATTTAACTATTCATATTAGGAGGTACCCAACTCCTCACACTTTGATGACACCTTCACTGACCCGTTATGAGCTGTTGGAAAATGAAGGATTATTTTCTTGAAACTCATTTTCCTGAAAAAGAACAAACAAAGCAAACAAAGCAAAAAAAAAGAACAAGAACAAGAGAAACGGAGCTCATTTCACCCTCGGCTAACCCATCTTTAGCTGGTAATGACTGTCTTGTAGTTCACATCAGAGTTTGATTTTCACACAAACACAAACCTCGCAGTAATTGAGCCTTTAAAACAAACTTTTTTTGTTCTTTGCCAATAATTCCTTGAGCCAGTGTGTGTTTAAGGGATTGATTTAGAGACTTTTAATGATCCGAGTTGGCGTTCAAATCATGTTCACTCCTCCAGTTATGGGGACAGCGTTCACACACATACAAGCTTTGTTCACACATGCCGTGGCTTTGCGCAATCCCGGGATCATGTTGGATTCTTTAAATCAACTTCAGGTCTGTTTACATAAGACTGTGCAGCTAAAGGCGGCCTGCGTTCCCCGCCACGTCCCCCACGCTCCCCCCCAACCTTCAGCCTCTGCAGCCATTAATCAGAGTGATGCACAGATGGTTCCGCTCGCTTCCTTGCACCGGCCTTCTATGGTTGTGTTGTTGTTTTTTTACACCCACCCTACATGTCAAAGATGGTCAAACCATATGGACGCATGGCCGACTGTGAAATTGAAACAATCCACTGTATGTGGATAAGTGTAGTATAAATATTTATGGAGAGAATAAGAGATGACCTCTTGCAGAATTTGCATCGTATTAGAATAGCCTTGGGACACCCGATGATTTATTGTGATTATCAGAGATTTAATCCTGTCTGTAAAAGTGCTTTCCGGTGTATTATTAATTTTTAAAAGCTGCACCGCTACTCTGATCGAGCTGGTTGATAAATTTGTGTGTCCCTGCAGCACACTGCTCATTTTCTCTTATTATATTCCTATTAGAACAAGAGCTGTTGTTATCATAATTAACAATGTATTATGTTGTTATTTGCAGCACACAAGGTGGTGTGACTGTTTTCTGAGATGCTAGGCACTACACTGTAGATTGCCATTGTCATGGAAACCAGAAGCCATTGTTAAAAATATATAGCTTTTTTTCTTAAATGTTTATTTATAAGATTTTAAGTTCAAAGTTACATAACG